TTGTTTTTACCACTGTTAGATATTCGATAATATTTTCCTTTTTTGCATAAAAAAAAACAAAATGCCACTCTGTTGTAAAAATATGCTTTAATACATTTTCAAAAACCATTTGTTGAGAACATTGTTTGAGGTCCGCAGGAAGAATTTTTTTTTTCGTACTTACGGAATAAATAAATTTTAATTTTTACTTAATATTAATTAATTTAAAATTTAAATTCAATACTATATTAATTTATTTCTTTTGCTTCCTGATTTCAAGTAAGATAAACAATCAAATGCAAAATTATAAATTTACTATATGAAATTGAAATTTATGCAAAGCCAAGCTTAATTAATGCGTATAATTTAAAAAAAACATAATATATTCAAACACAAAAGTCTTGAAGATAAAAAATTTTCAACATTCACAGTCATTCTGTCCACAATGCAGTGCTAGTATATGAGGAAATAAATAGGCTAATCTCCTGAGAGATTCTACAAAGGAATTTTCTGAGAGAAATTTCCGCAAAACTAGCATTATCATCAGTTGTCGAAAACGATAAATTTTGTCTGAATGGAAACGTGATATCCAGTCATATATCCTGTCCATTCAGACCAAATGATCCTTGAAAGAAAAATGTAGACTGAATCATAAAACTGTTCTAGAATAGATATGCAATAATATAACTGTATATCATACTTTTTGAAAATAGGCGCGTATTCTTGATTGACCTATTGAAAAATAAAGCTCTTCAAGATTAATCTAAAATGTAAATATATGCATTTTATATCTGAATACACGTAAGAACAGGCGGCAACTTCTTTTGATTAAAAAAAATTCAATTATTAAAATTAAAAAAAGGATATAATGCTGAACTCTTAGATTTTCTATCAATTTCGAAAAACTTTAAATAAAATCAAATTTTATTAGCTATGAAATATCACAAATTCATTTGTTAATATAAGATAGTTAATTAGTTTTAGCTGTAAATTAAGCCTTTACAATAGTAGTAATTAACTTCTACTTTCACTTCAATAATAAGCCTAATTTTGATTTTTTAAAAAGAACATTAAAAGCATCTTCTGATACTGTACAAATAAATATGTCACAATAAATAAATTTTAAAAGGTACAACATTACTTTTTTGACCAAATTTGTAAACTTGTGAAAAAATTCACTTGTTAAAAGAGCAAGTGTAATTAATTAATTAATATAAGACTCGAATTCAATTTTTTCTTAGTAGTGCAAAATAGTTGCTAGCTTTCTTTTACAGATTGTAATTGAACAATTTTTATTTCAGACCTAAATTATTACATTAATCAAACAAAAATGAAAATGTGAGCCATGATTATTTGCATATGCTTTAGGAGAAATAAACAAACTCGGTGATAGTGTATTTAAACATAAGCTTAAGCAAAGAGAAGACTAACTAACTGCTAGTAGTAAAATTGAAGTTGCGGTATTAGTGTTCATTTTATATACTCTAAAATTAGTTATTGTGTAGGCTAAAAAGTACACAACAAAATTTTCGGTTTTACGCTTAAACTTAAGCTTTACGAATCATTTATAAGCTATATTACACTCAAAAATGCGTGACATTTGAATTTTATGCAAAGAATGGAATAGAGAAGAAATAGAATTAAATATATACATTTTATATCTTATATATTTTAATTCTTTTTTCTTCTCAAAAAAAATAAATTTTTGAAAAACTGTCTTATGCATAGCAGCATAAATTATTCGTATTTCTTATTGTTTTGTTTATTCGAATATCTATTTTTGTTAACTTTTTTAAATTCATTCTCACTTTGTAGTTAAATTTTTGGCACTTTTTTGTTACACTAAATGATGAACTAAAAAAGCACTAACTTTTTTTAAAACTAAAAAGTTAATAATAAAAAAAACTAACTTCAAAAACAACAAAAGCAAAAAAATACGCAAGAAGTATTCTATGTTTTAAGTTGTAAAAATAAAACAATCATGATTAAAAAGCAAAATAAAAATTCAGCATCGCAAATACAATCACAAAATTAATTTACCATTCCAAAAACTGAAATAAATGTATTCGCAGACACTCTGAAGACTTCTCTAAATTTAAAAGCAACTCCATCTATTTTCTGTAATAAAAAATTGTACATTAATAAAAAAGTTAACATTTTATGGTGTTTAATAGACAGCAGTAAACGTTACTTTAAAAAAAATCATTTTAAATTATTCAATTTCCTGCTAGCATTTATCACTTCATTAGTCTTTTAAGTAGGGTAAGTCTAATATTACATAAATAGTGACTAGAACTTCTGCTTGCCGATAACTGTAATCATAGATTTGGCGTAATAACAAATTTTCAAATTAATCTTTCCTCGTACAAAAGATTAATTTTGGCTAAATTTCATTCCACTCGCAGTGAAAAATTTAGATTATTTTTTCTCTTCGAAATTAATAAGTATTTTTCAGAATTTGAATGATTTTTTTAATGTGTTTGTAAAATAAAACCTGATTTATTTCTTACTTTCATAAGTAAAAGTATTAAAGTAAAACTAAAAATGTATTAAGTTGTAAGAACTCATACTTAGTCAATTTTTTTTGCCATTATTCAATGTTTGATTGTAGAAAATTTTTAACTTTTGAAAAACCTAAACTTCCATTTTTCTTTCTAAATATTACTCATTTAAAAGTAGACTTTTTTTTTAAAAAGTTTGACTTTAAGCAAAAATGATATGGCAATTATTATCATGCATTATGAACAAATTAGGTAAATAAAAATTACTATTCACATATGATAGTTATAAAATTCATGCTCATATATAAGCATAAATGATATAAAAGTTAATTGTACTGATTTACACATAATATTAAAATACTGGCAATAATACTTATATTAATAATGAAAATAATGAAAAACTTTGCATTGAAAAACTTTGCATAAACTTTGGTTAGAGATAGTTGTAATGAGCAGTTAAAAATGCAACAAAATGTAATAAATTATTAATTTGATATAATAAATTATTAATAACAATAATAATAATAATAATAACCATAATAAATAATGATAATGACAGTAGTGCTAGTGTTGAAATGGATGGACGCATTTTCAACCCGAGCTTGGTGTAATACAAGTATTGATACAAAAATTCGAGTTCTTAACTCTCAAGATTGAAATCAATAAAGCCAGCTAATAACACAAACAATAAGTGCTAACTTTTCAGAAGCACAATCAATATTAACTGGATTTTTCTGATTGATTTCCGAAAGAAACAGTAGAGAAAGTGTGCAGGATGTTATTAGCAGTACAATTGCGTTCAAAATAAACAAGCAGTGCCCTCGCACACTCACATCTTCACTCACTCATTCATTCATTCATTCAATCGCTGCTCAATCACTGCCAAACGATAAGCTCACCAAGTGCACACATTCATCCCTTTTGCATTCGCTTCTCCTTCCAGTCCATTTTTTCACGCAGTAATTCTTAGATATTTGTGAGTAAGTCACTTACTCAGTCCTTCATCCTTATTTATCATTCAATCAAATTAATAATTTACTTAATTTTGTTGTATTTTTAGCTGCTCATTGCAACTGTCTCGACTAAAATCTATGCATATCTTTCCAATTCTTCCACTACAAATATACATACTATTGTGCACTAATGATGAATCATACTTTATTGATTAATTTGCATCATAAAATTGAATTAGCTATTAGTATAGGATTACCTGGAAAAATAATCGCGCAAGAATTGAAATATCACATCAAGTATTCTACTCATATTTGTGTTATTCACTACCTAATTTCCAGCAATGATAAAAAATTAATCAAGTATGCAAATCTCCTTCACGGAGCTACTTTTTTCAAATATGAGTAGCAATTTGCTCATAATAACATTGCCCATACCATGCAATTAAATGCATAATAATTGTTACACTTGCTTAATCAATAAATCGTTTATCATTACAGTGATTTATACTTAGTTAAGTACATAATTATGTATGTTATAAAAAGTATTTATAAAGGGAAAAAGTGAGCGCGACAGACTAGTTTGATTTTGCATGAAGAAAATAGAAGAAAAAGACCAGTTGGAGCTGGTTCATGCATTAAAATGCTATTATCAAGCAATTCCCTAAATCATATCTCACTTTACATAATATGATTTACATATGACACGGAATAAAAGACAAGCAAAATATAGCTAGCACAAATTACGAATCAAATTAATGATGTTACTAGTTTTAAACTGTGCAAGAATAGAATGGATCATGTAACGAAATAAGAGATAATTACCAGCAAAGCACATATCTCAAATTTTAAATCAAATACACGAAAAGCATTATTCAAATACATGAAATACAGTTCCAATCATAATTCTGTATCAAACAGAATGATACATTGTTATTTAAATGAAATTTAACTATCAAGTTATCTAACAAAGGTATGCAGCGCAATAATATAATGGAGAATTTATCAAAAATAAAGTTGAACAGAAACGGTGAAAGATTTGTCACAAAAATACCATATATAAGAAATTCAATGATATATAACTGTCTTCGAATGAGCCCCCAAAAGTTATGAAGGCAATTTACAGAAAATGAAATAGAATCAAGACAACACAGCAGCAGAAATTCTAGCATTTTTACACGAAAGAAAAGAAATAAATGAAAATTTTTTGATCAAAAAGTGCAATACTTTTAGCTTTTTTTGCTCAGAAAAATGCTTCCGTTTCCCTAACATTTTGTATGCATATTTGTAAAAAATTTACAAATATATCGATTTGGTAAAAAATGTATTTCGAGAATATTTTTTTTAATCTATTCACTTGCAAAATTTTCAAGTAAAAACAACCATCACTTTTACAATGAAAAGCCAATTTAAAGCTATAACTTTCCTCGATATTTTGTCATAAACTTTCATCATAAACTGATATTATCAATTATTGATGATCAGTCTTTCAAACTACTCAGCAAAACAGCACCACATAAAAATTGGATATTAATGTACTTTTCAAGTTTTCACATGGAAAACATGAAAATTACTGTGATATAGTAAGTGCACGAGATTCACGATTCGCACAATTATTAGTGACTGGCACAGTCATACGATTTCGCAGTTTCCAGTCCGTTATATCCTGCGACCGAAATGTCACGGGTGGTCGATTTATCCTACCCTCAGATAATGTGGTTTCATTTATATCATGCATATCAGTACGATTTTTGGCCTCAAAACTGCCAACCAAACTTTTTACCATGTTTGATACACACTCTTCATTTTTACTTTGAACATGAACTATTTCCAGACTCTAAAATTACAAAAAAATTATAGTCACAATGAACAATTCAAGAAACAAATTCTTAAACAATTCCCAACCTCATTTGTCCAAAAATTTAGATTATTACTTATCGTGCTGCAATATAGAACAAAATATTTTCCCTACTTATTTACACAAGTACTTTCGAAAAAACTGATACAACTTTCAGTGATTTCTGTGAAAATTCAAACGTTTATGCACTTAATGATGATAAGAAATTAGATGGAATAAATCATTCCGCATCTGAATAAAATCAAAAACAACTTACATTTGTAGAATCACCGCCTTTATCATAAACACGTCGAAAACGTACAGACTCAGCGGGTTCAACTGATGTTGATGGTATAACATCAAAATGATTGCGCTTCTTGAAAGCATGTAGCATCCCTGGAATCCAATACTTCCAATTAATTGAAATAATCGCTAACAACAGTTTCCTCAATTTTCAATTGTATAAAATTTAGGCATTTTGCATGACTGATGTTTTTTTGAGCTTAAACTACGTGAGTTGTACTCTATAGCTATTTAGCTATCTTTTCATTTCAAACTAACATTACTTTCTTCAAATGACATTTGTTTTATAAGTTTACAGATATAAACATAATTCTCAGACAGATAGGGAGATTGACTGATAGATTAATTTATTCATTCATTATTTATTAACCTTCAAATGTTTTCAATTGCTCGACAAAACCAATATTCGGTGTGATGCAATCTCGTTTATTTTTTACATGTTCCATTGCTTGTGACAAAGCCCAACCATATTCCTGTCAAAATTGAAATTATATTTCTTCAGTTACTAATCATCTAAATTACAATATTTTCTGATTTTCTACAAGGTTAGAGCACAATTCTTACCTTCATTGCAAAAGCTATAACGGTAGAAGAAGATCGACTAATACCTTTTTTACAATGAACTAGCACAGCGCTTCCTTTCTCTCTGAAATGAATACATAAAATCACGTAATGAATTATATACATAAGGTGTGGAAAATATGTAAAATGAATAAATTCTCACTTTGCTTCTTTGATAAAGTGATTTGTCTGGTTCCAATATTTCAATAACTCGGTACTAGCTTCATCGGAAACACGTATTTTGAGATATTTTAGTCGAGCAGGAAAAAAATTTTCTACTTCATTTGTTACATTTACTATATACTTGATTCTGAAACTATCATCATTAGTATGAACTATACGCACAGACAAGATGGGCTTAACAATTTCGGCATGAAAAGTAAATTAACGTGATTTAGAAGTATTATATCCGTTTCACAGAAAATTTTTAAAGTCATGCTTGAACATGACTCATTTCCGAAAAAAATATCTACCATGTCAAAATAATGGAAAATGTTGAAAAATCTATTGACCCATTATTTTCAAGCCACTGCCAGTCGCACGCGTTCCACTCTGTGCCCAAGTAAAGGTAAGGAAAAATCTGTGACGCCGTATCCATCTGACCCATAATAACCATCATCTGACGACTTATAAAATCCTTATATCCATCTAACTTCATATTCACACCTTCTTCTACCTAAAATATGCACTTAAAATCTTAAATTATAAATTAGAGATTGAAAATAAGGTTAATAAATGAGAAATAAATAGGTATGAATAAATATAAAATCAACCTTTAAGCGGATATCTCTGCTTGTTACTTCATCCAGATCGACGGTTTGCATTACTTCTTTTAACTGTTCATAAATCCGTGCCTCAACTGAAGCAGACACAGTTATGAAATAATATATATATCAATGGTATTTCATGTCAGAATAAAGGAAGCGACAAATGAATTTTAGAAGTTAATTACTGAAGTTGTCATCACTATGATATTCGTGACTGAATCGTTTGGCATCGGCAGCTGTAGCTCCTAGATCATCTCGAGATTTATTGTCACAACACGGTGTTGAGCGCTCCCTGGAAAATTTGAAGGTCAACTAAATAGTTAAGAATGAAACGAGTATATCAAAAATATTTACCAAAAACATATCATGTCTCGAAATACATGTAAAAAATCTTACATATAGATGATTAAATTCAATTTTCTTCCAAATAATTATGCATTTTTTGTACAATTTCAACATCAATATTTAACTACAAACAAAAAAATTCAAACATTAGCTACAGAAGCAACTTCGTTTACAAAAGTTGAAATCAAAAAAAAAATCAATTTACAAGACGTATTTGACATTTAAAAAGGTGATAGGCAAAATTCTAGCTTAAGCAACAATATTTCATTATCGCTCATCGTAAATTTAAGAACCAAAAAATCATATATCACAATTACAGAAACAAACCAAATTGAAATTACTGCATCATCAGACGAAACTTGTTCGTTATAATAATCGATTCGAAGTTTCAAAGTTTTCACTATTTGCTGCGTCAGGCCTTTACTATTCTCTGCTTCTATTAACTCCTGTAATCCGAGCAATATATGTAAGCAATTAAAGAATTAAGGCCATACTTAATATAACACAATTTCAAGCTGGAAAAATCGCAGAAATATCATGAACTGATATCAAGAATATAAAAAAAACACAAATAATAAATTCACAGAAAATACCTTATGTAATCTCTGAAACATAGTCCACATTGCTTGAACTGAAACAGGTCTGAATATGTGAAAAGATGAATCGAAGTCAATAACGACACCACCATCACCATCTAAACTAATTCGAGTAGTCGCATTAACGGGAATTGCAACACCAATTCTTCAAAAATAATTATATACAAAAATCAGATAAAGTGTATCAACAAAGTATTGAACAACAGAAAAGATGAAAATTGAAATATGAGCACGAAAAACTGGTATTAAAAAAGTCATGTAATTTCCAGAAGAAGTGAAAACCAACATACGTGATTTTATTAGCAGGCAGACAGTTAATACCAAGTAAAACAACTTCTCGAAAATTTTGCATGAAGTCCTTGCAGTGATGTGTTGAAGCTACAACGGCTAAATACCTAGCATGGTTTACCGAACCTACAGGTTCATTGCTATGCGGTTGTAATCTCACAGCCATTGTTAAAGTGTCTTGAGGAGGTAAGATATTTAACATTGCTTGCAAATGCTCCTCAATTTCACCTATAAAATATCTGTACCATTTAAAGAGTTAGAAATGATTACAAACAAACTGAAACTATCTTCAAATGAGAAGAACCATTGAACAGAACAATTTCCTACCGTGAAATTCTCGAATTACGTCAAACAAATAGTTTCCCTCTACAACTCCTCCTCTCAACTTGTCATTCTTATCTTTACATTTTGAAGTGCACAAAAAACTCTCACAGATATTATTCTGTTTTTCACACATTCATTATTGAGCTTTCTTAATTCAGAATACGAAAACTGATATTTAACGCTTACCACCGGAACTACGATGTCTAACATTGGAACGATCAGGTTGCAGCAAAATCACTGCAGTACCTTTCACATAAAAATAGCATTCCGTATTTGGAATTGCTTCTTTAAATACTGGCGAACTACATTCTGAAGCATCAATATCCTGTAAAAAATACGTCGCTCAAATATTGTGATCTTAAACATCCAAATAATTTTACGCAAATCCTACACGTAATTTTTTTTCTAACTATGTTCTGTGACAAAATTAATCCTAAGTTCATAATAGAAGAAAATTGCAACGTCTATATACACATAAGAACATGATTTTCTAATCCAATACTAATATATAATAATTCACTACCGTCTGGTCATAATTTCCATTTTCACTTGGTGTCGGTGAACGCTGTACCGTTACCAGCGACATCGATTACTCCGAACTAAAACTCTTTTCATCAGCGAGTTTGTAAACAAGTAAAAAAATTTATTCGAAACATACACGCATTGAAAATAAACAATAAACATTTTATACTACAATATTACGTCTAGATGAATAAGATTGCACCCTACATATGCGATTACTAAATGAATTTAATCATGTCAAATCGGCTTCGTCGTAGAAACTAGTGAACACAAATAATATTGCTGGTCGAAGGTTACGTAATTTTAAGTGAGCAAAAAGTGTATTACGTCCTTAATATTTACATAAGAATAAAATGATTGCAGTAAACGTATGTGCAATAATGAAGTAACAGAGAGCAGTCAGTGTTTACCAGAGTCACATGTCAAGCTTCCACATGACCTGGCGGGTATTCAAAACTTCAATTCCAAATATATATTATGTAGGCAACAAACAAAAATGAACTGTTAGAGAATTAGAGTTAGTTTGAATCTATAATCATACGAAGGTTCTGACAGCTAAACATTTGCATTCAAAAAAACAAGAAATGTTATATGACGTGGCTCAAGTGAGCATTAATATTACTCCCTCTTGGAACAATTATCGCAATGGCCTAGTAATTGCAACCAATTGGACGACCAATTAGATACCGCAAAATCATGGCAAATATAATGCGAATTATGAGAGTAACAACAAACTAGCACTACAATGACAAATCAATCTGTACAGGATATTCTGATTGATTATCAATTTCTTTACTTCCTCTGATCCCTCACAACGTTTTACTTAATTCTAAGTTCCTCGGTATTCTCTGTAATCAACTGACTCTGAACACATGCGGCTAGATCACACTTTATTTCCCAGAAATCTATTAAGGATCTAAAAATATCTTAAAAACAACCATCAATTCGATGAGTTACATGTACAACATTGAACTGCATTGAAAATTTCAAGCAAATTCATCTCCATTTGAATAATGCACATTCCAAGCTATTTTATGATACCTTCGTAAATCTTGAAATTTCTATCTTTAAACAAAAAAAATATTATTAACGTGATGGAATCTGTCTGAACAGCATTTTCTTTTGAGCACGCAAAAATTCTTACAAATAATATTAATAAATTAAATTATAAATTCCTGAAGCTACAACAATATGCAAAATTATCATATAGTAACCACAAATACAAAATCACAACAGCAATTTCCTTCTAGTACATTAAGCTCATGGTCAAAAATTGAGATAACAATTCCCTAACTTTGATTATAAAACAGAGATTACGGTGAACCCTCGTTTCATAACCTACAAATAGAATTACTAAAAAAGAGTCAAAAGTCTATTCTCAATAAAGCTTACGAATAAAATCAACTTCGATCTTCAACTTTATCCTTACTTTAATTTCAAACATTTGGTCGGTAGAATATACTGACAAACACATGCAAGCGATTTCATAATTACAAATACACATAACAATATTGCCACTAGTTGATAAGGCTTCAAATCTTACCCGTAACATCCAGACTTTCAACGTAGCCTGTTATCTGATGGCACTCTGCACGAAAAAATAAAAAAACTATTTGCACATTAGAAAATAATTCAGTAAATGCAACAACTTCTTTCTCAACACAAAGTCATTTCGATGAGAAAGAAAAGTTCCATTTAGCAAACGATTTTATGATCAAAGATTTACAATTTTTCGACGCATGAAAATCCTTATATCGAAAAACTAAATAGATGAATTAATAAATTGCCCAGCGGGTCCTTTAACATCTGTATTTATGACATCTCTCGCTTCGTAAAACAAAATATATGCAGATTCACTGTTCTTTTGTACACCGTATTCCGAAAGACCAAAAAAGTCTTCAATTGTTACGGGATCGATTTTCTGCAAATTATTTGTGTCTTTTACAATCTTGCAAATTAACAAACTTATTGTTTAGCACTTGATGGAACTATGAAAACTACTATAAATTCACTTTTTTGGAAAAGTTTTACTAACATCCAACTACTGATTCTTTATACCAAACTTATCGTTACAACTTTTTTTTTCCAGGATTGCTTACGTCAACTATATCATCATCAAACAGAAGCCAGAAATTATGCGATTTCACGATAGTAATATAGTGACCACGATTTGGTGTTGAACCACAATGTACTACCACTGCACACAAATCGTATAATCGATCCCTATTCACTGCATCATCACTCTAAATGAAATCCCATTCAGAAAACTGAGATTGTTAAATAAATGAGAACATTCAAAAATGTGCTCTTCATAAATAAATTAAAACAGTGCTCGAATATGTAAGCATTGTTATTCTATACCAACTACCTTTTGCTTGCAATTCAAAATTTGCTGATAGCTAAATAAACTTATTTCAATGTACAAAAACAAAATTACTCAAATCAATTAAAACTACCTATTAATTTATTTATGCATTCAGATATTTAGTTTCAGTAAATTACTAGTTTAAGTACGCTCTTTCCGGATTACAGAACTAGAAACAGACTGAAAAACAGAATGGTACATAAATTAGATGCAAAAATCAATAATGTAATGCTAGATTGCAGAATTCTTTGTTTCCGTCCATCTTTTGATAGATAAAAAAAATATGAAAATGAGATATATTTGATTACCACATTGAAAAGGCGTAATTCCAGCGGAAATAAAACTCTATATGAGAGTTTCGTGTGACGACTAATCTGTTCGACATATTTAAATCGTTTCAAATGTAATGCCAACATCTGCGGCAGTTTTTTGATGCGCATACGTTTTTGGGCCTTAAAAACATAAAAAACTGAATGATAATTTTAATTAAACGACGAATTTCCTAATTTAATGCTGATGAAAAAAATGATATCAGAGATCAAAAACAAATTACACGTTATATAAAGAGCACACTTCTTTAAAATACCTCCTGTTTAGAACAACAATTCTCGCAGTAATACTTTTGCTCGCCTTGTAATGTCTCCATGTTTGAAAACACGCGTAAACAATGAGTAATTGACGCATTTTGCTCAACGTCAACGCTAAGATCCAAAAAATCTTCATCTTTGCTTGATACCTAAAACAACAGACCTAAAAATTTGTTCACTGCAATGACATATCTCTGCGATTTCAGCACACATTATTCCCAAAATAAATTTCTCAATCGTACAGACTATTCCACATTTTAAAACAATGTACTGATTTGTCACGAATCAAAATTATCAAATGAATTGAAAAATAAGAAATGAATTTTGAAAGTTAGTATTGTTCGTAAGAACAAAATTTAATCTCAAAAGTCTTAGAATTTGAAAGGTAATGAGCTATTGAATTCTAAACCTGCAATTTTGCTACAGAATAAGCGTTGTCTTACTTGCATCATAATAAATATTGAAACTGTATATTGAAAAAATAACACACTGTTTGTTTTTTTCATTGAGCAGTTTCAATATTCATTGTGAGGTAATAAGACGTGAGGTACTGAAACGTGCTTTATTGAAAGACATCAATAAGTGCTAAATCGTGGGTTTATGTAGACTGTTCAGAAAAATTTTTTCAAAAGAAAGAAGTCACTCATTCAAGTGATATGTACAACACATACAGTTTCGCAATTAAGGCAGCGTGTTTCATTTGTTAAAGTCCCTTGAAAAATTTCTTGAATCCAAGTGGCATCACATTTCGAGCTACTAAAAATTCAAATCTATTTTATTGGATCAAAATTATAAATTATGGCTATGAAGTTTTTTCCAAAATTTGTCTCAATATGATGTCAAATAACTAAATAAAAAACTTATACCTTGGTTGACAAAATGTCAGTGGTTCATATGACGATGAAATAAAATTGTCCTTTTTTACCATGCCACTAATACGAGCCATTCTTTCCGCTTTTTCAGCTTTTTTCTCTTCTGCAAGGGTTTCCGATATTGTATTCAATAAATAATTTAGAAATTCATGCGCATCTTGCTGAGAGAAATTGTCAAATATATCTGCAATGATATAAGGACTAGGTTGTATATTTTAGAATTCTATTAGTACAAAGTTTATTCCTGATTTATACAGACATAATGTTGAAAAAAGCCGAACTCGATATCTTTTAATAACCTTTTATCCTTCTTCTCCGAAAAAGGTATATTTTTCTTATTGTTATCAGAAAAAAGTAGGAAATTGAAACCAAAGACAGCACATTACTTACCGTTTTCTTTCTTTAATTTGGTAACAAATCGTTTCGGAGCAATAGTACCAACTCGCTTCTTTTGAGTTGCGATATTGTGGAAAAGATCAGCAAGGCAAGTTAACAGATTATCTTTTTCTTTGGCTGAAACAATAAAATAAGCAAAATCAATAGCAGATTATGAGATTTGCAGCAAAAGAAGGTAAAAATATGAATAGAAGATAAAATGAAATGTGTGAATCAATATGAGATTATCCGAGTGACAAAGTTCGCAAGCTTTGAATTAGGGTTTTCAAAAAGGTCTTTCAGGAGGTTTGAACTGAGAGAATTCATTCCATTCGTTTACTGAGAATTGCCTTGCTGATCAAAACTCATTGCCTTTTGAAATTTTTTTTTTATTTGTGGTAGTCTAGAAGGAAATGATTCATAAAAATTAAGGGAAAAAAAAGTATATTTAACAAAATGCAATGATAAAAGAAAAATATAAACAAGTTTTACAACCTGAATCCTTGTCACCCGATTTTTTCAAATGTTGCTTGTATT